TTGGACCCCCATTTTGTAGTCCAGAACCTCTGATAATTAATAGTATGATTCCCAGGGACCCTCAAAAACAGGACTCAAGACAAATCCCTGAATAAGTTCAACACATCCATCTTGAGAGATGTGAGTACGAGACAAATACAGATGTTGCATTGCAATACTGCTGATTCCACACAGACAGAGTGAGTGAGTGAGTTCAGTTTTACGACGCTTTTAGCAATATTCCAGCAATATCACGGCGGGGGACACCAGAAATGGGCTTAACACATTGTGCCCATGTGGGGAATCGAACCCGGGTCTTCGGCGTGACGAGCCAACGCTTTAACCACTAGGCTACCCCACCGCCCCACCACACAGACAGAAGTTACGTCAACACTTGATGGATCTGCCGAGTGATTGACAAGACAGCCTTGTGGTTAAAGCGTTCGCTCGTTACACCAAAGAACCGGGTTCGATTCCCCACATGGGTACAATGTGTGAAGCCAATTTCTGGTGTCCTCCGCCGTGATATTGCTGGAATATTGCTAAAACTAAAGCAGCATAAAACTAAACTCACTCACTATTGAATTTAGCTGTTTGGTTTTTGACATGTTGGTAGGAATGATTTGATATTCATAACCATGTTCGCTATGATAGTCTGGCATAAGTGTTTGTCACTTACAAATAGGGTTTTACAACCTAGACATAGATTCTGGACTCACCCTCAGTACGATACATATGGAAAGTCGAGACAATGTGAGTTGACTAAAATTAATGCATCAAACATTCCAAAGTAAGCATTCATAAGAAACTGACTGACTGACTGAGTTTGGTTTTACGCCGCTTTTAGCAATATTCCAGCAACATCACGGCAGGGAACACCAGAAATGGGCTTCACACATTGTACCCATGTGGGGATTCTAACCCGGGTCTTCAGCATGACAAGCCAACGCTTTAACCACTAGGCTACCCCACCGCCCCTCATAAGAAACAATGTCTTTCTCAATCCTGGCTGTAATGCTCACTCACTCACTCACTCACTCAGACACCAAGGGTACAGTAAAGCACTCACAAATAGCGATAGAAAATGCCCATTATGCCATCCTACCCTTGCTGTTTGTCTGAACATGCTGACCTTAGGGTCATTGAGACTAGTATCACATACACCATGTACACAGTGAAACACAAAAAAACACAATGTACAACGTCAAAGGAAATAAAACACTCGTATCTGATAGAACACCGTTACACTGTTACCAGGAAGGTTGGTAAGATGATCGTTAATGAAATACTATGTTGAAACATGTTCAATGTGAAACCTTTTGAATAATGCCATACTTTATCACCTGGCCCTGTGTCAAAGAATAACAGCCTTTGAATTCTGTAAGTGCTTCCAATAATAACACAATTCTCAGTTAACACTCTCACTTAAAACACTGCTAGATTTACAAGAATCAATTCAATGAAGGAGCTCCTTGAAATGCATCCTGAGAAATGTGGGTACTCACCAAGGTGTTTGCTTTCAGCAATTTATGGGTGCTACAGCTAACAAGAATACTTTCAATCCACCGTTGATTCAGATAATGCCATGTGATTATGAGCTAGGTAGATAACAGTTGTTATTGGAGAAGATTGTCCATTTTCAACATGTTTAGATTTTTTAATCCTGATTCATTTTTTGCATTTCCATGTATTTGTCCAGATCACATATTTTAGTACTGTATATCAGCGCATATAAAGCAACTCCACGTTGAAAAAAGCACTTCATCAGCACATAAGGGATCCCTTTTTTGCAATAGAAACATGTTGTCTTCCTTGTTTTTCTATGTGATGCCTGGTCATGCATTTTATGTAAAGAGTGAGTGAGTTTAGTTTTACGTAGCTTTTAGCCATATTCCAGCGACATCACGGCGGGAGACACCAGAAATGGGCTTCACACATTGTACCCATGTGGGGAATCGAACCCAGGTCTTCAGCATGACGAGCGAACGCTTTAACCACAAGGCTACCCAACCGCCCCTTTTATGTGATGACAAGGTGCGAAAACAAATTTGTGACAATGACAAAATCTGTTCAGTTTAAGTACTGAAGTGACTTAGATCAAGAAATTCTATTTCCTTTATTTAATCACCATTTATCTACATTTCAATTTAAGTACTAGGCTCACTCTTGCTAAACTATGAGCATGTGTATTCAACAGTCATTGATACACGCCTTTTCCAACACTTGCTATGAGACGAAAACACAAATGGAACTGATTTACGATCCACTGGTGATATACCACGTGTTAGGTCACATGGGCAACTGATTGGAGACATTTCATGTTAAGTCAAATGTAACTTCATTATTGGTTACACTTTTTGGTACTTTGCTGTTCATTTCAATACAGTGACACAATTAGATATGTATTTAAGGAAGCACAGTGATGATTTAGCTGAAATATATGTGTAAAGTAAACTGTTGTAACTAATCGCATTGGAAAATTTGAGATGACCCCACTCTTGCATTCCCAGCTCTCCAATAGTGAAGACTACTTTTTTCAGCTGGCTGGGAAATCAAGGCGAGGCTCATTTAAACTATATTTGCAGAATATGTATAGTATGAAAACAAGGAATCTGGACACAATGGAAGCTTATATTCCAAAATAGATTTTTGAACAGATATTTCGAAACGTTTTACTGTCACACAAAATCAGTGCTCGTGACAATTGTACACTGGCTGATAGTCTATCTCACAGTCCCTGAACCACATTATTTTCCCTACTGCCTAGCCCTCTCTGCAGTGCTAAAGCCCTAAATAAAGCAAGTCTAGATTTCTTCAGGTTCTGAATCTCTGGTCTCCCTAGGGCTCCTTTTCAATATAAATGGGCTTGTTTGTTACTATCAAAATTATATATATTCAGAGACTAAGCCTTAGTCTAACTGGCTGATATTGCCAGTTGAAAAACCATGACCTATTTAACAGTCTATTCTGTAACACTATAATATTAACACCAGATATTTGTACTAAAAAATACTTCTTCTAAGTGCAATTTCTTGTCTGCAGCTTTTGTGCTTTTCACGCTTTAACAAGAGGAATGTCAAACCATGACATTTGTACTTATAGCGAAGGAGTATGGTTTTACGCTGCTTTTAGCAATACTCCCGCAACATCACGGCAAGGGACACCAGAAATGGACATCGTCGGTGTACCCAGATGGGGAACTAAACCTGGGTCTTTGGCATGACGAGCATACACTTTAACCACTGGGCTACCCTGCCACCTCCATTAGTACTTATAAAGCAGTCCATTCTGTAAGGTGTATGACCATATAAAACATGCTCATCCTATCTGAATAAATAAGCCACACTCAACATGCTCAATGTTTGCTTGGGATAAACAAACAGAAACTAACATGCATCACTGCATGGGCACTCAGGTCTACAAAGCCTGATATGCATCATGGCCTGACGTGATGAGAAACGAAACAGATTACACAGCACTGATGGAATATGTAGGACACAATGGCAAATGTTTAATATTTATATCACCCTCCTCACAAGTCCTGAATATAGATTGGCTCACAGAATGCACTCATCATGGTAATGGACTCACAGTTCCATTTATCACGGCATGGGACACACTGAATTCATTTCTCAGTTGTGTCCATGTGTAGAATAAAGCATGACGAGTGAACATGAACATTATTCGACATCACCTTAAGGACAAGGGTCCTATGAATTAGGAAATGACCATCTAAGATTTTACAGTATGCATATTGTGTTTTTCAGAAATTATTGGTGTGACAGTTTTTAAGACATGAAATGTTTTACTTGAAAAAGCATCCAAACCATCTTAGTTTTGTTTCACAACATATTTTCTTTTCACATCCAGAACCTTTCAAACTTCTGCCAACAGTGCATTATGTTACAGTGACACAGCAGTGTAATCTTTGGGTTACAGTAGTAAGTTAACATGCAGGAGACCTGTTATTGATTCCCAGCATGAGCACAATGTGTCTGGTGTCCTCTACCATAGCACAAATTTCACAATATGAAATTTCATTTTGGGACGATATTTAAATGTTGCTAAATTGTAATTACATTATTTCTGATGAGAATTATATAAATCTAGATGTAAATATCATTTCATGTTTTCATTGTTTTTATGTAGACTGCCATTAACTTTTGTATTTTCAGAAAACAAGTTTTGGAAGTATCTACCTAATTTTCATGCTTACTCACTTTGACACTTTTCTGGATACTGAAATTATTGTCATAGGCCTAGCACTTCCTTATGCACCTTTTGGATGACACAAGGTTAAGTGGGTCTTTCATTAGCTGCTTTGAACGGGTTTTTTTCCTGTTAAATCATGGCATGCCTGCCAGGGAAGCCCAAGTACAGCCGTTTATGGACCTCAATAGTGAAATTCACAAAAACGAGTAATGGCACTTCGATGATATATCGGGGCCGTGGGGTAGCCTAGTGGTTAAAGCGTCGGCTCGTCACGCCGAAGACCCGGGTTCGATTCCCCACATGGGCACAATGTGTTAAGCCCATTTCTGGTGTCCCCCGCCGTGATATTGCTGGAATATTGCTGGAATATTGCTAAAAGCGGCGTAAAACTAAACTCAGTCAGTCAGTCGATGATATATCCACCGCCAATCTCTCCCTCAATCTCCCACTCTGTCTTCATCAAAAAGGAAAATTCAGTATGTTCTGAGAATATGGTGGTAAATAATATCATATTGGCCAATACGATAAACCTAAGGCTAGCTCAAGGGCAGGGCTATAATGTTATTTTGTCCCGGCACAGCATGACACATGGCATTCGTGTTAACAAAATGGTATTTCGTACTACAGATCTCCCGGGACCAATCTGTCGAATTGTCTCCGAGATAATCATAATATCAACTTGTAAACATGAGCATGTCACGTGAATCTGGGACACCTGCACTGCTGTCCTGTCGCATCTCAGACCTACACGCGTGGGGGCGTCTGACGAACGCCGTGCCCCTCAACCCCTTCTGCGCGAAATGTCTTACCTTGCTCCAAAGATATCCTTCTTGGCTAGGTTAACACCCTCCACCACTTTAATCCGAAGCAGTCGGGTGGTTCCCGGGGGTTCATTCTGAAAAACAAATCGGCCTAATTAGCTACGGTTCAAACAGAGCGTCCGATGTTTACCGATCACCTGTACAGATAGTCCGCTACTTACTGGAATCTCTGGCAATCCAAATACTTCAGTTATACTCGCCATAAACTGTTTGCTATACTATTAGTAGTTTAACTTGTATACTAGATCGGTGCTGAATGTTGATGATCAAATGCGCAAGTCCGGGGAATGTACCCGGATGTACTTGCCCAATGACCTTACTAACGTCACGACCTGACTCATTTGCATGCCATGGTTTAAAATAGCTACTGTAAACACTGGAGGACTGTGACGAAACAAATACTTGTCCTTTGAAAGATGGAGCGTTGCGTAACAGCTTTCGTAATGCATCACCATAACGGTGTCAATACATGGATTTGTTTACTTGCTACGCATGTGTATATCTTTCATAAACCCAAAGAGGGCCCCACTATTCACATGACAGTGACGATGCTATTTAAAACGCAACTCAGAAAGCATGTCTAAATCAGGTCAAGTATGATGGCAGAGACTATCTATTATATGGCCTCTGATGATGGCAAGCCAGATTTTACCTTCTCAGCTGTGTATGGGCCATGTAAGAACGTTTCCACTTTATGATAACGCGCACTACATTATATTCGTTGCGCAAGCTTTACATTATATCGATATTGTGAGGTTAAACGTGAAAAGAAGATGAAACAGATTGAACGTGAAAAAAATTATGAGACCACGCAGGTGAATATGATAAATGATGACATGATTTAAGTCTGTTATTCGACCGACAAGGACAATGCAGTTCATCACTCCAACAGGTTGGATGTTAACTTCCTAACGCTGGCGTTCATGTTAAAGGCCATGATGAACAGTCCTATAAACAATAATCACAAGTGAACTTTTGCTGAAGCTCGGGTAGACGCCCGCGGTTGTTTTCCACCGGAGTTTCGTTACAGAACACTGGCGATGAGAGATTTTTCAAATCAGTCACAGTAGAATCAATATACACGTTTCCTTTTATTTCGTTTATTCCTCCGTTCAGGTACAGGGGCGATGGGGTAGCCTAGTGGTTAAACCGTTGGCACGTCACGCCTAAGACCCGGGTTCGACTCTCCACATTTGAAGAATGGTGTCCCTGGCCGTGATATTCCTGGAATATTGCTAAAAGCGACGTAAAACCATACTCACTCACGTTCGGTAATTTTGATAACTATACTTCTCAAGGACACAACATTCAAATATATACATGTTTTCTGGAAGAGATGAAAAACAAAGAAAATATCCACCCTGGACAGCATCTACAATCGTCTACACAATCATCATATCAGTTTTGAGAAAGTAGCGGCAATATGCACGTTTGTATGCAGACGACACCCCTGTGGAGTGATGTGAGGATTCCCACTGCCGAGCTGCTGAGGAAGAACAGGTCTGTTGAACTGAGGATTTGTTGTGTGTTTGCATGTGTGAATGAAGCTAAACAGGAGATAATGTTCAGCTATATCGATTGTCATAACAAGTTGCGGAGTTTCAATACCATTGTAATGCTGGTACCAGTGACGCCTCGTGTCGACGTGTAGGGGGAAAGCATCTTTAGAATTGCAACAGCGAATGCGCTCAGCGCTGGCATCTTGCCAAGGTTTCGAAATCGGGATGGGAATTTCCTTTCTTGCCAGGTAATTTTCCAGATTGCAGTGAGGCATGAAGCACTTTAATTTCCTTTTTATTACACCAGATATGTAACTTTTCAAAAGTATGGCATTCATCGTACACTTAAGGCGGTCGATCGATCGCGTGATTTACATTTCTAAAGGAATCCAATTATAGGGCCTAATTTGACAATCTACCCGGTTACTACTGACGTCACTCTGCCACCCTTTACTGATGAGTGTGGTCTAAGGGTCCGTTCATAATTTATGGCTGTGTGTGTGTGTGTGTGTGTGTGTGCGCGCGCGCACGTGCATGCGTGTGTGTGAGATAGATATGATTTTAAGCGGGGGTCACCCATTTTTTTCTGGGGAGGTAGAGGGGGTCATCAATTTTGAACACAAAAACTAGGGGTTGGGGTGAAGGGGTGTCAACAATTTCGTACATAAAAATATTAAAATGTTATGCTTCAAAATTAGGGGGGGGGGTAATTGATTTTGTACATGACATGCAGGGGGATCACTTACTTTGTACATAAATTTTAGGGGGGTTATTCACATCGTACATGCTTCTCCATAAAAATCATCATCACCCCCCAAGCCATAAATTATGAAGTCCTTAATTCCAGTCGGTCACAGTGTACAAACCTCCCGACAGATGGCTAAAATGACTGAAATGCAAGATACTATACATATTTATCCACTCTTGTGTGTACTTGACATGATTTCTAGCTGACTGAAATTGTTTTGAAACTACCCTCGATTATCCAGTCTATCCTTCGTACCATACATGGCGAATAACGTATGGATAATAGAGGACGAGCGCTTATGTTCGCGATATTGTTCAGAAAATATATTTATCGATTTTATGAAATATTTCACAGGCATTTCTTCGAAGTTAACAGATGATGAATAGACACGCTAAATAACTTTATTATTGGACTGTGATAGCGAGGTTTCGGTATAGATCTTAAAACGTCGTCTTTGACATGGGTTGAGGAGCTACACGGAAACGTTGCCATAACATTAAAATATAGGAGTTATCCATAAGTTATCTACTATGTGTATCTGTCATGTCACCATGATGTCCGAGGAAAGACAATGTTGAGAAGGTCTGAGACATTTTCCACTTCAGTGAATCCTAAGGGGAGAGACGTTGATTGTCTTCAAACCTATTTCAAAGCAAACCGAAGCACTGCCAAGGGACGCAACCCGGAAGAGGTGAGGTGAGGTGAAATTGGGTTTTAACGTCGTGCTTGAGAATATTTCGCTCATATGACGACGTGCATGAGTGTGTATGTGTATGTGCGGCTGCTTGTACTAGCCCAGACTGAAGCTGGTTTTAAAGTGCTAGCCCATTGAGATACCATGCCGCAGTGAAGCATGAATACCCCACTCAGACACATTATACTGACTTCGAGCCGACCAGTCCTTGTTGTACCCATTAAATCCTGAGCGCCAGGCAGGGACCAACAAGTACCATATTTTAACATCTTTTGGTATGACGCGGTTGGGGATCGAACCCGCGACCTTCCGCTCTCCGGGCGGACGCTCTAACCACTACACCACGGAGGCGGCGCAACTCGGAAGAAGCGGCACCTCATACATTTAGGCTATCCGTAGATGAGTACAGAAGTCCTGAATCAAGTACCCTTATGTATATGGAGCTGGTGTGCTGCATACACAACACTTCCCTCGATGGTAACCCTGCCCATCTAGTCTCTAAAACCAGCGTCAGGGAGTGGGCACATCTGATATTATAAGATTGGTTGTTATTATCGTTTTACACCATATGCGTCATGAGTCGACACTGGACTGGAGACAGAAGGTGGAAAACATTGAAAACAGTCCTTATGATAACCAGTACTGAAGACAAGCGTGGAAACAACATGGCTGACAAGGAAGGGTGCACAGGTGTTGGTAACAGGTGCGTGTTACGTCACGGTGTTTTACTCAAGAAAAGAGTTAAAATTGCAGTTGATGTATAAAAGTTTCTGAATGACTATTTTAATATGTCAACATCATTAACATGCTTAAGCGCCTCCCCTGCAGACCCCTCTTCGTCGGGAAGAACGATGGAGTGTTGACGGGGATATGACGCAACTGCATGCTGTCGATACACTTTGATAGCCACACAAAGAATACCTTGAACCTCAACACACCTGTGCCTCTTTCAACATCGGTGGGAAATAGCATGAAGGGAATGTTCCCTGGGCATAAAGTCAGCTGTAGTGACGGCGGAATGAGGCTTGTTGGCATGGAGTGATGTCTTACAAACTAACACAAGAAGAATGAAATGGATTAGTGTTCATTATACTTTGCACTGTAGCTGCCATTCAGTCGTGCCTCCTTTAACACAAGCATACAGACTAAAAGCAAACGGTAGACGTCGTATCCATTGTGAAAACTGATATGGTGACGTATATGAAACTGTTATCCCATTGTCACGCTTGTTTGTTTAAATCTCTACATGATCCTCACGACATGACTGAGCGGCATTGTACCGCTTGCATTATGCTAACACTTCTGCAATGAATGATGGTTTGAGTTGTAACCGAAACATACCTTACCACGTGAAAGGATACACGCGTAAAACGCGCTTGCATTAAAAGTAGCTCAATCTACTCTGCATAATCGAAGCTTCAAAGGTATGTTGTTGAACGCTGCAATCGGCAGTATGGTAGCTGTCACGGCGGGGTGTAAACAATCGAGTCTGGACCAGACAATCCGTTGATAGATAATATCAACGCAGTTGGGGTACATGTGTCAACTGAACCAGGAGGCCTGACCACCCGATCCCCTTAATCGCCTCTTACAAGCAAGGTTGCTGAAGATCAATTCTAACCCGGATCTTCACGGGTACATCTTGAGTTTCACATACAGACCAACATATTAGTATTTTCAATCTCGGAAACGAACATTAGGCGGCAGTTACGAATATCATAGTATCAGTAGTATCGTATAGTTGTTAGTCTGTCTCACAGTCCCTGAACCACATTATTTTCCCTACTGCCAAGCCTCTCTGCAGTGCCAAAGCCTTCAATAAAGCAAGTCTAGATTTCCTCAGGTTCTGAATCTCTGGTCTCCCTGGGGCTCCTTTTCAATTTAAATGGGCTTGTTTGTTACTATCAAAATTATATATATTCAGAGACTAAGCACTAGTCTATATAGTTGTGAGCATTAGTCGTTTTTGGGCCATAGCACTGACTTTCCCGCAGAGATATCGCAACGGAGCAAAAGGCTTGGTTTTATTGAGATCAAAACAACAGCAATTGTGACTCATATTTTGATTGTTCTTTGGATGACAAAACTTACAACATCTTGCCTCCCATATCGACAAATACTTCAACTTGCGAA